TTAACTTTCCTCTAACATAAGCAGATGATAGGAATACAATACTCAGCTAACCTAGGACACATCTGAGGCTGTCCCGGGGAATGCCCCACATTTTTGAGCATCCAGATTTCCCTGCTGTGCATTTTGGATGACCCTGATGGTCACTCCAGCTCTTTGAAGGGGCTGCACCCTTTCCCCTCCCCATTTTTCCCTTTCCCCGTGTGTTGCCGCTGTCCTTTATCCCCCGTCAGCGCCGCCCTCTTTCCCTGGGCATTCCCTGAGGGTTTCTCCCCGTCCTTCCCTTGCAGACACGTTTGCCAGCAAAGTGGCAGCCACGCAGGACCAGTACGCGGACGCCTCCATCGGGAACGTCACCGGGAGCAACGCCGTGAACGTTTTCCTGGGCATTGGGGTGGCCTGGTCCATCGCGGCCATCTACCACGCGGCGCACGGACAGGCCTTCCAAGTCTCCCCCGGCACGCTGGCCTTCTCCGTCACCCTCTTCACCATTTTTGCTTTTATCAGTGTGGGAGTGCTGCTCTACCGGCGGAGACCCGAGATCGGAGGTGAGCTGGGCGGGCCGCGGACTTCCAAGCTGCTCACATCCTCACTCTTTATCCTCCTCTGGCTCTTGTACATATTCTTCTCATCTCTGGAAGCCTACTGCCACATAAAGGGCTTCTAAAGGGACAATCGGAGATAGTAAATATGTGTATATCTATATATATCTATATAGAGCGATATATAGGTATAGATATAGATATAAAGCTGTGTATAATGAACAGAGAAAAGAATAAAAGAGATTTGCCATGTCCACGCACCTGCTGATGGAAAGCGGCTTTGGAGCATCCTTTGAACTAGGCAGGACCCCAAAGCCAGCGGGACCCCTCCCCAGGCAGCGGCCCCAGCCAGGAGCCAGGGGCAGGGTCCCCCTTTCTGCGACTCGACCACAGGAGCAGCCGGTGGCCACCGAGCCCCTTCCCACCGCTGGCTCCCAGCCGGGACAACGGGGCGAGGCCRGAGTGGCCGGTGAGGAACGGAGCGAGGCGGGCGAGGGAAGGAGAGGCGAGCAAGGGCTCTGCTCTCCCACCGCCATCCAGCTGCCTTCGCCACTCGGGATCAGGCCCTTCAGCCCTGCTGGAGAGGAGCGAGAGACCCAACTGGAGACACTGGGAGCTTTCTAAGGATAGGACACAAACCGTTTTCGTCATTGATTTGGGGTTGGTTTTTTTTTTTTCTGTTCCGTTTCGGCGTGTGTACAACCAGCCTTTCTCACCCACATGCCCCTCACCTTTCCCCGTCCGTGCTCCGGGGCTGCAGCCTCGTGTCCGGTGTCCCGAGCCGAGGAGGTGCAGAGCAGCGGGAGCCTTCCTCCCWTCCCTCCGCCTCCTCGGGCATGCTGTCGTGGTACTTGTAACATTTGCATGAATGAAATGAAATCTATCTGTATATAGCATCCTATAGTGCTAGTCCTTCCGACCACGTGGGTTGAGCCTCGCGCGGATTACGAGCGGTGGTTATTTTTTTTTTTTGGTTTTTCTTTTTTCTTCTCTTTTCACCGGGTTTTATTTATTTTTAGTTTAGTTGGGTTTTGCCATAGGGTTCCGCTCGTTCCGTTTGTTCGTTTTCCTCTCCGCGGGGGCGGGAAGGATGGAAAGCTGTCCCCCCACTCGCTGCTGGTGGCGTGGGTCTGTGAGAAGCAATAAGAGCTGGAGCTTTTCAGGCGAGGGAAAAACCCACAGCCCTGAGCTGCAGGCTCTGTCCACCCACTGTGGATGGGGTTCTGTGGCGTGAAAGTCTCCTCTGTCCGCAGGAGGAGAGGGGTGACAGATGTGGCTGACTCCCAGCACCTCACTGGYGCTTCTGCCTTCCGAGTGGGTGTCTGCCTCCTCCAAGTCCTTGTCCCCCTGCTGTTCCCCGTGTCCCCAGAGGTGTGGTGACAGCCCCCGTTTCTGAGTGTTAAGCCATCAGGACCGGTGCCCAGAGCTGGTCCATCCCCACAGCCATTTGGAGGCAGAAAAACCCGGTGTGAGGGCTGCAGGGCGGTGCGAGATCTCCCACTCTCAAAATCGGGAAAAGCTTGTGTTTGGCACCCTCCAAATCCAGAATCTGGGCAGGATGAGACAGGGAGGTGTAACTCAGCATCTCCTCAATGTCAGGATTGGGGTAGAGAGCGGATCCAGGGCAATGTGGGTGTGGAGCTCCCCAGGGGCAGACCCTCTGAGCTGCTGTTGAGAGATGTCCTCTGACCCCGTGGATTTTGCCAGGCTTCCCRACATTCCAGCCAGGCAAACCCCCAGCCTGCGTGTCCATGGTGAGCTCTTCCCACCCAGCCCAAAACCGTGTCTGATGCTTGTACCATAACCAGCTGGCTGGGGGTATTTGTACTCATTTCGAACTATCTGTGGAAATTTTAATTAACCTGCTGTAAGATTTTCTCTAGGAATACCAAGTTGTGGTTTGTTTGGTTTTTTTTTTTTCTTCTCGAGCCTTTTTTCGCTTTTGGTTTGTTCAGGGTGTTTTTTTTTCTTTTTCGTTTCTCATTGTTTCGGGGGGGGAAAATCAAACACAGGTGCAGGTTGTTCAGGTTTGTGATTACCTTTATGTACAAYGATTTCATTTTCATCTGTTTGGCTTMGTTTTTGGTTTTGTGGKKTTTTTTTTTTTCCTTTGTGTGTATCGCCCACCACTATAGGCAGTGAGTCCACTAATTGTGATGATCCTTATCAATGGTACACAATGCACAGAGAAATAAAGTTTGTAATGATTCCTGACGGATCCAGCACTGCTCCTGCATATTCTCTATGGAAAACCCTTCTCCCCCCACCCCCAGTTTTTTTCCCCTTTGTACCCATCTCGACTCATTGCCTTCACTGTGTTTCTGCCACCGGCACAGCCACTCCTGCCCCATCCCATGCCTGTTCTCCATCTCCATGGTGCCTCAGGCTCGGTGTGTGCTGCTCACAGCCCACTCTGCTCTCAGGGGGTGCAGGAAAACACCCAGGGATAAAGCTGCAGGGCACCCCACCCTTCCAGGGCCGGGAGCTGCTCCTGTGCTGCATCCCTGGGTTTGGGAAGTGTTCCCCTGAGGCACCAAGCAGCTCTTCCTGCTTTGTCTCTTTTGGTTCTGCAGAACTGCTCCTGCTGGGGTGGGCCATGAGAATTATAGGGGAGAGCCCAAGAAATGCATTTCCGTGGGTGCCAAGGCAGATTTGAGACACCCCACAAGGCTGGGCCCCAATCCAGGTGCCACGGGCTATTCCAGACCCGACACAGGGGGAGAAGAGTCTCCTCACGCCCGGGGATGCTGCTCCTCCCCGTGTTTGGTGCAGCATCTGTCGAGCTGTCCCCAGATAAACCCTCCCCGTAGCCCGGGAGGTCCTGCTCTGGCAGCTGAGCCCAAACACCAGCTCTGAGCTGGGCCCTGGGTGAGCACAGCCTTCAGCCCTCCTGAGCTTTTCCTGGGTTGTGAAAGCAGAGCAGCTCCTCTGACCCAGCCACTGCCTCTGCTGAAGGTGCTGGTGCTGTTCCCCCTCTTGCTTTGCTCCTTCACAATGAATCCCTGCAGTAATTAACGAGTCAGATAGGAGGGCAGTGAAAAAACAGCTCTGCTCAGAGCTTTCCAGAGGGAATGACGGAGCAGTGCTTGCTTAGGATGAGCTAAAATCACCGGCCCTGTGGATGCAGCTGCTCTCTGCCAGCTGCTTTTGGGCATCCTTGGCGAGGCTGTGCCCAGCAGCTCCTGGAGGGGTCACGGGGGAGCAGAGAGGGGCAGCAGCACCCTGCCGAGCCCCCAAGGGTGCCCCAGCATTCCTAAGGGTGCCCCAGCATTCCCAAGGGTGCCCCAGCATTCCCAAAGGTGCCCCAGCATTCCCAAAGGTGCCCCAGCATTCCCAAGGGTGCCCCAGCATTCCCAATGGTGCCCCAGCATTCCCAAAGGTGCCCCAGCATTCCCAAGGATGCCGTGCCTGCTCCTCTGCACAGTCTCCTCTTTTCACCACGTTGTCCAAAGGCAGAAGAGCCCTGCCCTGGCAGTGCCCAGCACAGCCACGCTCAGCTCCGTGGAGCCCCCGTCTCCTCCATCTCCTTCTCTCCCAGTTTCCCCATCCTCGCTGGAAAAGGCCTGGCTTTGTGGGAGTTGCCAGAAGCAGCAGGTTAAACCCTCGCCCCCCACCCATCCATTGGCTCTCACCCCCTCTCATCGCCCCGCCGGCTGAAGGAAAACCTTTCCATGGAAAAGGATGCGACACGTGGGGAAAGGATATTCAGAGATAGACACCTAAAATCTCCACAGGGCACTGCCACGCATGTGGGGACAGGCACAAGGAGCACATCCTGGACAAATATTCCCAGTTCTTCAGGGCTCAGTGAGAGCGGAGACAAATCCCAGCCGCAGAAAAGAAGCAAAAAAGAAGAGATCGGCGGTGCCTCGTGTCCGAGCCCACCCAAACTGCTCCCTGCAAGGACAGAAGGGAGGAGGGAGGCCCTGAACCCGCTGTGATCATGATCCTGGCCGTGAACTCACTGCCCTGCTCCTGCTGTGGGCCAGGAGCAGGGAGCCAGAGCCCCGGTGTTATTGTTACAGCTATTTTTAAACCCTTGGCTAAAGCATCATCGGCGTTGGTGGCCRTGCACGCAGCCCAGGAGGAGGCTCAGCTGCATTCCTGCAGGGACAGAGCTGGGAAGTGATGGAAAACTTAATGCTGGATGGTGTAATTCCAGGAGAAAGCAYTGTGTTATTTTCTGTAGGCTCTGGCACCTCAGCCCAGCTGGAGATTGGTGTTTGCAGAGCACCAGGAACCTCTTCAGCCTCTCTGAGTGCGCTGTGACCAACAACCAACGCCTCCACACGTGCCCAGCTCAGCTGCAGAAAAACCTGTTTATCCTGTAAAAAATCGCCTTGCACAGGAAACCATCCAGAGGCGTCCGTATTCTCGCAAAAAGCACCGAGGGACAATAAATACAGCGAGATTCCTCACCTTTTAAGGACTTGAGCCTCTCTGCTGTTGGAAGCAGAGGTGCCAAGAGCCTCCTGCCAGCCAGCAGCACCCCTCACACCCAGGGAAAGGGGACAGGGAGCAAGCCTGGCCAACAGGGAGCTGTTATCAGCTGAGATAAGCAGGAGCTTGCAGCTCCCAGCAGGATTCTGTGACTGTGGAACACCCCTGAGAACATCCCAGGAGTGTCCACAGGGTCCTGCTCTCTCTGGAGCATTTTGAGAACAGCCAGTCCTGTCCCCAGGGTGGTCACCACCCTCTCCTGCAGGCTCTGTGCCCTCCCTGGGCTCCCAAATCTTTCCCAAAGGGAATGCCAGGGGCACTGTCCCCGAGCATGGAGGGGACAGGGAAGGGACAATCCCCATGGGGTCCCCACCCCTCGTTTTAAGCACTGCCACAGCGTGTCCCCKGCACGGGCATGCACCTCGATTTCTGCACAGACACAGCACAGCCTCCTGCTTTTCGGGCTGTCCAGGGCACCAACCCCMGTTGGTATTTTTAACTCTTTGATTCCTGTTGCACTGCTCCAGGAAAGCTTTCTGCCCCTCCCAGTTCASGTGGCAGTGGGAAGGAGCGTTGGTGTCACAGCACTGGTGACCCCAGGGTGCTCCAGATCTGCCTCRAGCCATCTCAAGGTCCCAAAATCGCTGTCCTCACACAATGACAATCCAACCTGGGGCTCACTCTGTGCTTGCCTGCCCTGTGAACCCTCTCCATGTGCCATCTTCACCCTGGCTCCCTGCAGGGAACTTCCTCTGTCCCTCCTGCCCCACAATGTGGGACAGATTTCCTTTGTCACCGTGCCCAGCAGTGACACTTTCAGCTCAGCCCTGCTCTCTGGATCTCGAGGCAAAGATGAGCCACCCCAGGTCATGGACTGGAGCAAACCAAGGAGCAGGGACACATCCC